ATGTATCACAGTGGCCATATGTTTAGCTTCTGTAGCAGGATGGCCTGGGTTTGAATTCTGATTCTGATATGTGATAGAGGGCAATTTGCTTAACTTCCCCATGCCTCAGTTTTCCTCATTTGAAAATTGGAATGATAATCACAATAACATTAGTGACATCACAGGGATGTTTAAAGGATAAATAAACCAATATTTGTGAAACACATAGAGTAGTTCCCAGGACATAAGGCATAGTTAATATGTGTTCATTGTATCTTTATGCCCCAAGCTCTTATCATGAAGATGTCTTTTTTGTTTAATTATGATGATGATCCATGTTAGGTAGGAGATGTTAAGGGTTGTGAGAAAGCTGATAGCCTTGGTCTGTGGTTTAGGAAATTGACATTTACACTGATACTTGAATAAGCAGGACTTGGCTAGGAGTGGAAAGCTAGAACAAAGGCCTAGAGGCAGAAAGGAACTTGGTAAATTCTATACATTGGACGGGAGCCCACATGGTTGGAGTGGAGAGGGGGATGTGATATTAAAGGGGAAATTAGGAGCAGATCATGCATATCCTTGTGCACTTCATATTAAAATGTGTTTTATCCTAGTTGGAATGGTAGAGGAGTTGGCATGTGAACTAAATATTTAAGGAGAGGCCAGGTTTGGTCATGCAGAAATGAGGGGTGGAGTAGAGGAACCAGCATGGGAAAGGGCACAGAGAGAGGGAGGATGAGAACCAAGAATGAGTGAGCAGTTAAGTTTTGCTGACAGAGAAGGCATAGGTGATAACTAGGTATAAATAAGATCGTAAAGAACACAGGCACCAGATGATGGAAGGCGATGAATTCTGGACATAACAGTTCTGGTTTTGGTATGCAGTTAAAAGTCTGTCATGTTTTGGGTAAGGAGACTGATGGATTAGAATTACATTTTAAGTGTACTGCCCTAGCAGTATGGGGTGGGATGAGAGTGGGAAAGGGAAGAAAGAGAGAGAGAGAGAAAATAGCGTTTTTATCCAATGAGGAAATGCTCATAAGAACCAAGATGAGAGACATGGGAAGCTTGAATGCTGCTCACAAATAGTAATCACTCAATAAATATTAGTTTTTATCAATTCAACTGCTTTTAAAACTAAATAAAATAGCTCTTGATAGGTGAAAATGTTATACCTTGTATGAAGGAAAACTTTTCCTTCTCTTAGCTTTTGCAATGTTTCCTATGGACCCTGAACATGACTGCTGCATTCTCTGTTGCATTGTTATTGTTTAGGCATGAGTATGGCTCTGCAGTGGACTTCAGACAGCTGGGAGATGAACACCTAGCAAGACATTCATCTCTGAATCTTTCACACCTCCTCACAGTCAGTAGGTACTTAAGAAATGTAGGCATCTTTCTGTGGTTGTTTAGCCTGTTCTGAACCCAAAGCACCCTGGATTAAGGGATTTTAACTCCTTTGAGATTTGACGAGAGTAGTAAACTTAAGCTTTCAAGGCAGCAGCAGGTGGCTCAGAGTCCTGCACAAACAGGGCAAATCTTATCTTTATTTAAGGAGGGGGAAGTGGAACCTTCATTTCATCACTAAACACTTATCTATATTTCTTGTCTATTTCTAAAAAAGGGCTACTTACCTGCTTATTAATTTCCCTGTTGGCTTCCCCTTTCCAATTTCTTAAGTTCAAATCTAAATGAAGAAACCTATAAAATCTAAGGTCAGGCTGGAAACCAGAAAGGTCAACTACTCCAGAAGTTTTGAAGCTGGAGTCAGGGGGTAGACATTCATGACTGTGAAATTCCGTGCAAAATTCTGTGGGTATTTTTTGTAAATACATTTTGCACAATGGAGAGTGTCAATAGCAATTGTATGGTTCTTAAAATGGTCTGTGATCCTAAAAATATTGTCCATTGTTTGTCAAAATTATCATACTATGAATGGGATGCTATGAAACACCGCATTTTCTTATTAAATGAACTTGGGAAAAGATCCTATTCTAGTATCACCCCAAGAACTATAGACTGGAAGTTCTTTCTTAAGTCTATCCTAATCTGTTGGCAGCTCCTCCCATGCAAGCCCTTGGTAAATTCAGTGGAAATAGCAAACAGCTGCTCACCAACACCCACCCCAAAGAAAGAACAAGACATTTCTCACATATCTCAAGCTGCCTTAAATGTTCTTTCTTTGGCAAAGAAGAAAAAAAAAAGAAATATATTTTTGGCCTCTAAACCTTTTCCCACCCGTGTATATTTCTACAGAAATGTTATCCATATGGTTCTGATTGCTTTCTCCATAAGTCATTAGGAATGCTTTGCACTGAGAACTTTTCTGATGACCGAGGAGCCTTTGGAGACATTTTAAAATGGCCCCCTTAGCCTTTACTTATAGAAACAGGAAAGCTAAACAGAGCCAAATGCAAATGAACCAAGACCTGGAAAGGTTGGAGTTTTATTCAAAACTCAGAAACCATAAGACTCTGGTGAGCCTTAAATCTGTCCATGTAAAGTCTTCACCTTCCTGTCCAGGGACAAGAGCTACTAAATCCTTCCTTGGCACAGATAATGCAATGGTCCCAGCCATTTAATCTGATATTTAGGGTTGGGTGTGGTGACCCCATTAAATTCCATGATCTTCTAATTACCCCAGGGCTTCCCCACTATTCCCTGAGGACACAATAAAGAGTTTGAACCTGGACTTAGGTGTGGAATTCCTGACTCCATCACCTACTAGCTGTAACTGGGCATGCTACTCAAGTTTTTCAAGGCTCAATCTTCTATTACCTAAAAATGGGGTAGTTTTATCTAACTCATACCTCACAGCATTTGAGAATTATAAGCAATAATATAGAAAATATTCCAAATGAAATGCTTGGTGCATGGTAAAAGTTCAAAAATTCTCTCTCCTTTTCACTCTCTCTGTCCAACAGTAGTTGAAACTAGGAAGCGTTCTATGTTTTCTGAAGGAAATATTGACTGTGTGTGGTGGGGGAGAGGAAGATAGGAAATAGCCTAAAGCATTGAGTCCCTTCTTTCTAAGGCTTCTGGTCTGCAGCCCATATTCAAAGATTGACTAGAGGAAAGAGCTAAGAGGAACCAGTCTGCACCTCGTTCCTCCTCTGACGCTTCCTGACTAGCTTGTCTCAGACTGATTTCAGAATTGCATTACCAGCAAGATTGCTGTTGCCTACTATCGCTTAAGGAGACATATCTGAGCTGGGGGATGATGGAGAAACACAGAGGAAGAGAGAGAGGACTAAAGGAAGGGTTGAAGTATGGACAGACAGAGAGAAAGAGGAGAGAAAAGAAAGGCGGGAGGAAGGGACAGGAGACAGCAACCTGGGGCTTCACACTGAAATGACTGGGAGAAACAGTGGGTGCGCACAGTGATATTCTCCGTGGTCAGAATCAAAGTCAGGACTGCCCTGAGAACCACTGACTGGCCAGGATCTGAAGCTGGGACATAATCCACTAGGCAGAGAGGGGAATAGCTGCGTCGGTCAGTGGCTGGGGAGCTGTCCGTGGTGCTGACCCCTCATTTGGATTAGAGAGTAGAAGCACTGGGGCTCCGAACTGGCTGCTGCTCCCTTCTCTTCTTCCCCCTCTACCCGGTCCTGCACTCCTGAGACCTAGACTCACCATGGCTAGCTCTCTCTCTTTGTCAATTAAATACTTTTTCTCAGATTCCCAGTTCATCACTCAAGCATTTCTTTTCCATTTTGTTTCATGTCTCCTCTTCCTCCATTAGTTCACTGGCTCCTATATCCTTATAGGCCTCCCTGGTGGCCACATCTCTCTCTTCCACCACTTTTTGGATAATAAAAAAACATTAATGACAGTAGCAATCATAATAGCAGGTAACATGTACTGAGTGCTCACTAGGTGCCAGGGAGCATTCTAAGTGCTTTTCCATACTTTAACTCATTTAAATTCCAATCAACCCTGTTAGATAGATAGTTATATTGTTCTATTAAGCAGATCAGAAACGGAGGCTTAAGGGGTAAGTAATTTGGCTAAGACCACATAGCTACAGGATTCCAACCCCATCTAGAGCCTGCACTTTTACTGAATTTGGGTCCCTTTAAATTTCCTGTTACTTATTTTTCTTACAGCTTCCTGCACTTCATCTGCTAGCTTCGCCAATACTTCCTCCCTTGCCTAATCTTCAAGGGACTAGGAATCTGCATTGCTGATTTAGTTTAAATCACCAGGGAAGCCAAGTAAGCAAATATACAGAATATGCACTGTGTGGGAATTTAGATCATGCGAGGGCCTTCTTTTCTGCTTCGGGGAGAGGCCCCGTGTCAGCACCCCCAGCCTGCATCTCAGGCTGAGTGCGGAGTCTTCGGCTGTCTATATTCGTGTCTTAGTCCCGTCCTCCCGGCCCTTCCCTGCCTCTGGTGGTCTCAAGAGAACTTTGCGTCCGCTCAGCCTCTCACTCCTACATCCTACCTACCTGGAGAAGCACTTGCTTAATTCTGGGAGGTTACTTGGGCTCTCGCCTACGCACACAGAGAAACAAACAGCCTCACATTCAGAGAGACACGCAGACACGAGCGGACCCGCACGGGCACCTCCCCAGACAAAACCCACACGACAGATACACACCGCCACACAAGCAGCCGCACGCCCAGAGACACTCAGATGCTCACGACGCACACAGCTACAGACACGCTTGAGAACACCACGATTTGGGGTTTGCGCACACACACAAGTCCCTTTCGATGCTCGTACACGAGAGACGTGCCATCCCATCCCCAGACCCACGAGACTCCCCGGTGGCTCAATCTCAGCCCACCCAGGTCGCGCCTCCCTCGGAGGCGACCTCCGTTCTCTCCTCCTCCTCCGCCGCCGAAAGACGTACAAAACACTTCTCAGAATAAACCCGGCGCTCGGCTCCGCCCTCCCCGCCCCCCGGCAGCCGCTCCCCCATTCATTGTCGCCCGTCGCCGGCGGAGTCCCGCCCCCCGCGTAGCCCGGCCCCCTCGTCTCCCCGCCCGGAGACGTGGACTTCCCTGTCCATTCGCCAGCCGCCTCGCTCCCGGTCCCCACGGCTGCAAACTGATCCGGCGCGGGGGGAGGAGGAGAGCGCAGGCGGGCGAGCCAGCGAGCGAGGGAGCGAGCGAGCGAGCCGGGAGGCAGAGGGAGTAGTGACCGCCTTCCGGAGCCGGGATTCATGCCTGTCCTCGGGACTAGCCAAGGGGACTTGACGGCTGAGTATGAGCCAGGCTGCTAGGAGCCAGGTACCCCCACGCCTGCAGTCCCCGCGCCGTCCCCGGTATGCGAGCTGGACGCAGGGCTCTCCCAAGTTCCCACCGAGCCGAATAAAAAGCGCCCGCCCGCAGCTCTCCGCCAGAGACGGACATTGACTCCAGGTAAGGCGGCGCCGGGTGCAGAGCCCGGCAGCCCCGCCGCCCTTGGAGCGGGCCCCGGACCGCATTCGGGGCGCCCCCGCCCCTCCCCCTCCCGGCACCCTCGTCCTCTCTTCCCTCAGCCACCAGGCTCCGGGGACCGGGGGGGGGGGGGGGCC